AATTCCTTTAAAAATATGAATATTTGTAGAAAATGATTGATTTTAATGTGTTTTCAGCCTTTCAAGGGCATTTTGAATTTGGTTTTGTCTAGTTTGGACGTAAAAAGAAGAAGTACAGGGGGAAGGCAGTGGGCCCTGCGTCCATATTAAAGGAGGTCGGAGATAGAGAGTCCGAGGGAGAAGAGGAGGATGAGGACGAAGACCTTTCTAAGTATAAACTAGACGACGTAAGTTCTTTCCTTGTCCTGCCTTCCCCTTTGTCTTTGACCCATTCTGCAGCACAAATGCTTTGGTGATCGTACCTTTGGTGATCACGTCCTCGCAAGGGAAGGGGGGCCGGGAAGGCTGGCCGTGCGTGGGCTCTGCTGTTGGAACAGGAGAGGTGATGAGGACAGCTTTTACATTAGGATGGAGATGGTTCATTCTGTGGGGCCAGAGTGTATGTTTGTGTCTGGCCTTGTCCCAACACAGGTACTTTGGCGTCTGGTCCTAGACAGTCACAGAGTGCAAGTGTATTCTTAATCTGCTGTTCTAGAGTAAAGCTAGTGGATGTGGACTGGCGGGCTGTGAAGGAGGTGAACCTGAAAACTACTAATGTGCCAGCAGTGTGAGAGCAGAGGGAGGCCCTTCTGCCTTTGTGTTGGCGGGAGGGACTGACTAGGTGAACTCCAGTGTTTGATAATACCCATATGACCAAGTGTCGTACTCTTAACTGTTCATCTTTCTTGATCTGTATCTTAATAGCTAAATGTCTAAATAAAATTATATTTTTATTAGGATGAGGATGAAGATGATGCTGACCTTTCAAAATATAACCTTGATGCCAGTGAAGAAGAAGACAGTAATAAAAAGAAATCTAGTAGACGAAGTCGCTCAAAGTCTCGATCTTCTCACTCAAGATCTTCACGCTCATCCTCCCCCTCCAGTTCAAGGTCTAGGTCCAGGTAAACGGGTACAGGTCAAGGGTAACGCCAGTCAAAATGTCAGTATCTAACTTCTTTATTTATTAATTTTACTTTATCTTTAACTAAATAAGCTTTTATTTTAAAGATTTTGATCAAGTCACCTTTGCTAGACTTGATCTTCATGCCATGTACGTACTGTCCTGTATTTTCAGAAACACCAAGTCTTACAAGAAACTCACTTCTTCTGTGTTAGCACCTTACCTTTTACTAGAATAGACTTAAAGTCAATTTAAATCACTATGTTTAGCAACTAAATAGAGATCTATTCAGTATGTTGAGGACTTATCTGGAAATTTTCCAGGCACTAATGACGTTGTATAATTACTAATTTACTTTGGTATCGGTATCTGAATAACTAAACAAATTGAGCCATGTTAGTTCTGTTGTCCTGATGCTTGCAATTTGGTGGTATCTAGGAATAAATTGAATATTTAGTTGCTGTTGTACTTAAAATACTATTTTTTTGCTTCTATAAAATACATGTTTAATAATATAGTAAAACTAAACGTTGTCTTAAATAGTTCACAGTTATGACCAAAGAATTTTAATATTTGGAGGAATAAAATAGGAGTTGCCGAGTGCGTCATTAGTACTATAACCTACAAGCAGTAAAATGGTGTGAAGAGTAATTTCAGGGGTTGGGAATGTAACTCGGTAGTAGATAGAGCACATGTCTATTATATATGAGGCCCTAAGGTCAATTCCTGCCCCCCCCCCAGAAAAGTAATTCTGAGATAAAAAGTGTAGTGCTTTCTCTCTCTGAAGGGGTTAACTAAATATGGATATTAAAGAATGTCACTTCATTTGGAATTTTTAGAATTTAAATGGGTTAGATCTCCCCTAGTGCCACTTTTTACTTCACTGATGTAATAATATAAAACAAGGCCAGGATTATGTTATCCTGTGTAATTCTTTGAGTCAGGTGACTGGAAGAGCAAGATCAAGTAGACAGTGCCAAGAATTAGGACTGTGATGATGAGACACCGAGGAAGTGGTATTTGTGAATGAGAGGGAAAGCACCCAGTGAGGGTAAAGGTGAACTGTCACCTGTGCTGGGTGGTTAGTCTCGGGCGACTTCTGATTATCGCTACTGAGCGTAAAGTATTCATCGTCTTTGATAAACTGGTACTGCTCCTTGCTTTCCATCTGGACACTTTAGAGTAATGAGGTGTGCAAGGTGGTAGTTGATTTTTCATTTTTAATCTTTTCATTACAGCAATAAGAAGCCTTGTTAAAGTGTTTTGTTTTGAACACGCATTTTGCATAGGTACCTTTTTATGTGAAAGTGAGCTCTAATGTGTATCTTCTCTTCAGTGTTCAGATCATAAAGCTCAGTAGAGTGGTCCTAGAAAAAAATGCTTCATGTTGTTCCAGGTCCCGTTCAGGAAGCTCTTCCAGCTCGCAGTCAAGATCTCGTTCCAGTTCAAGAGAACATTCGAGATCTCGTGGGTCGAAATCAAGGTGAATGAGGTAGCATCTCTGTAAAGCAGAGAGCCAGACTGAAGGCTGCAGGTGCCGCTGCTTGTCCCATTGTTTTGCTTCTGTTGGTTTTATTTTAGCGCTAGAAAACTAATGTACTTGCCTCAGCTTAATTTACGTCTCTCCATGAAATGTTTCCACGGCCAGCGGTGTGCCAAGACATTCCCGTGATTGGCCTGAAGGTGGTCATTTTGCACATACAGGTCTTGTTATTGGAGCTGAGACGTGTGACGTGGGAAGGTGAAGCTCTAGTGCGTAAGCATGGTGTGCGGCAGTGAGCTGCACGGTGAAGAGTTTTGCAAGGCCAATATTTAGAGACAGCTTTGTCGTTCTTTACGTTTTCATCTCTCCCTAGTTTTAAAAGTCACTGAAAGGAAGGCAGATGCTCAAAACTTGCCGTTTTGCAAGGCCAATGTTTAGAGACAGCTTTGTCGTTCTTTACGTTTTCATCTCTCCCTAGTTTTAAAGCAAATTTATAAACTAGTCTTCGAACAAAATCTGCCCTTAAAACTGAATCAGGTTGTTGGCGTGGGCAGGATGTGGTCTGAGCATCACTGTAAAGGTTGCACCTAGTCACAGCACAGATGAAATGATGAGTGACAAAGCGAGGAGAGCTGTTCTCACTTTCCTCAGAAGTTTTTTCTGTACTTGATCAGTATATGCTGGGTTGTAGTTTTGGGGGTTTTTTTGATTGCTTTTGTTTTTGAGACAGGGTCTCACTATGTGGCCCTGGGTGTGGGCAGGATGTGGTCTGAACATCACTGTAAAGGTTGCACCTAGTCACACAGCACAGATGAAATGATGAGTGACAAAGCGAGGAAAGCTGTTTTCACTTTCCTCAGAAGTTTTTTCTGTACTTGATCAATATATGCTGGGTTGTAGTTTTGGGGTTTTTTTTGATTGCTTTTGTTTTTGAGACAGGGTCTCACTATGTGGCCCTGGCTGGCCTGGGACTGGCTATGTAGATCAGGCTGGCCTCGAACTCAGAGATCCACCTACCTCCGCCTCCAAAGTGCTGTGGTTAAAGGCATGCATCACCACACCCAGCCTAAAATATGTTGCCTTTAAGTCAATTTATAGGTTGTCTACTATAGGCATTTCACATTAATATGAAAGCTTCTGAAATTCCACTTGTGGAAATTGACATTCCACAAATGTGATTCGGTTCACACTGAAGTGTAAGAACAACTCTCCTGGGGAAATTGCCTGTTCACTTGAGCCTAATCTAGCATTCAAGGGCATCTCCATTTTAATCCAATTAAGGAAAAGATGATTCACACACTTACTAAGCCAGTACATCCTAGAGAACCAGTGTGTTTTCTTGCTGTGTATTACAGTGTTGTGCTGCTTTGGTCCCTTGGAAACTACAGGATGAGGTTTACAGAGCAGCCTTCAATCCCCTAAATTTGTAATTGCTCACAACTTTCCAAAGAATTCTCCTTTTGGGCTTTCTGTTTTTATTTTAAGCCCAAAGGTGAATTTTTTGGGAAGTTTGAGCTAAATTCCTTCAACCCAAATTTGTAAATGAAGAAAATTTGCATCTAAATATTGCACATTTACTTCCGCCTAAAATATGTGAATGTTACCATTTCATACTTTATGAGTACTTCATAAAAATACATATATTAAGAACTAGTCAAGTTTTAAAGTTGTTTTTTCTTGACTACTTACCAATTTCCTAGTGTTCTGCCTCATTCCTGGCTGTGCCCCTCAGTTCTCTGTAGCAGCTGAACTGAAGAGTTCTATAGCCCACGAGGAGTGACGTTCACTGTCCTCTTCAGATTCATACGGCAGACATATTTTTCTCCCCAGTGGAATGATGTCGTTTCTGAACATGAAGTCACAGAATTGATTTTTAATCCTTATGCACTGTAAACTGAGAAGCCTTAAGCAAATCTTGAAAACAAAGAAAAAAAAGATTCTGTCTTAATTCAGTAAACTGCTTTTCAAGTACCAAAGGGTCAATACTTAGAGTTTTTAAAACAGATCAGATTAAATGGTTGTACTTAGTAGAACTTTTTCATGGTTGGCCCAGAAGTCTGCTGTTGAGTAAGCAGTAAGTATTCCTTCTCACAGACTCTCAGTCGTAATCCTGTTTGTTTTTGGAAACTAAGGCTCCTTCTTCCTTTCTTCTTTAATGAAATGTCTGATTTGTTTCTCAATCAATGAAGATCCAGCTCCAGGTCCCACAGGGGCTCTTCTTCCCCAAGAAAAAGATCGTATTCGAGTTCTTCGTCGTCTCCTGAGAGGAACAGGAAGAGAAGTCCTTCTAGATCTTCTTCTCCCGGTGTTCGCAAAAAAAGACGAACAAGATCACGGTCACCCGAAAGGTTTGGGTTTCTGTAGAATAAGACTGGGTGTTATTAGGTGAATTTAATAGATAAATTTTCTAGGCAAGGGATAAGTTTCTAAACTTTGTTTAGTTATTAGCGTTTTAATAGAACAAACCATTCTCTGATTGTTTTATTTAAATTTTTCCATGTATATGATTATAGCCAACTCTCGGTTATTTTTAAAGATTGCAACCTAGAAGCTACGTCGAAATAACTTACATGCATTTATGTTACTTAAATATTAGAAATGGTGGGAATTCTAGGCATAATTAAAATTCACTTGCGAGATCATTGGAATCTGTCCTCATTTAAATATGAATAAGTGCACTTCCATAGAAACTTACTTGCCCTTTACCTAGAGACTACTCTTTGTACCTAATAGCTTTTCATCTTGCAGTCCAAATAAATCCATTTTTGTTCTTTTGGAAAAGGGCCATATTAGGTTGTTTATCTGTAGTGACATTAACACAGAGTGCAGCTGTCATGTGCCAGCCTCTTCTGCGTCAGACCTGATCACTGGTTCCATTGATTTTTCTCATGGCTCTCAGTGCTTAGACGGTGGTTTACAACTCCACTTGTGACCTGGGAAAATTTCCATGTCCTCTGAACTCGTGAAAGAACACCAGGATCTTGTCAAGTCTGATGACAGCTGGGTTCAGAGTAGGACTGTGTTGTTGCTACCAACCCAGGATGATGACATTTGCCTCCCATATCAGGTTTAAGATTACCATACACGTCGTGTAGAATTTACGTCGTGTAGAATTATGTACAGGAAGTCACTCTGTACTTGAGAGCCATTCTGTTATCTTCTTAGCACTTCTGCACGTCTTTATCTTAGCCACGAGCAATCATCCACTCTAGTTCTTGTCATCTAAATTTAATGAACATGTTCTCTATTCTGTAAGCCAGGTGACTGGTGAGAACACTAAACCCTGAGCCCAGGGCCAGCCCCTACGGACCACCACTCCTGTGCCCAGGTTGATACTGACTTATCCCTATTGGCTGCATGACTATGACACTATAACTGATTGTACAGTCACCTTACGTGGTTAGATCTCCAAAACCTCATTGTTTATGAATGTACTTCCTCATACACAATGGGAAGCCTTGCTGTGTGTTTACATAGAGACTTTGTACACTTTGTGGAGTGTAGCAACAGACATTGATTGGATCACACTTCATTACCAAGTTTGGATGCTTTTTTATACGTTGTTCCTAATGATATGCTTTTGTCCATGCTTTCTATCATTACCCTAAATAATTGAGAGGTGGCTATATTTGAAAAGAGCATATATTTTTAAGTTACAGTTGTGAATTTTAGAAAAATATTACTGGGCTCACATCCATAAGCTTGTGGAAGTTAATGTCAGAGTTTTTAATTCTTTCGGCAAGCATCAAGATGCTAGCTTTTGTTGTGTTGTTTTTGCATCTGTGGGTGGCCTCAGTGCACCTCGTTGACTAGTCGCACTGCTTTCTGTTATGTCTTCCAGGCACCACAGGTCGTCTTCTGGATCGACCCATTCTGGTTCCCGTTCAAGTTCAAAAAAGAAATAATGTATTAACATTTACATCTTTAAAAACATTCAATACAGTGCATGAAGCATACTTTTTAAGAAGTTAATGTCTTACTTGGTCAGAAGTGCTAAACCTGCTAGCTGAGGTGCATGCCTTCATTGCTTTTCAGAACAGTACAACTGTGTTTATTTGTGAAATTAAAAGTGGAGTTGCATTTTAAGCCATAATGTCCCTGGATAGATGCCCTGTTCAAATTCTCATCCTTTCATTGTTTCTGTGCCTGTCCTGTCTATTGGCCGAGACAGGATGGCCTTGGCCTCCCTTTAACTTTGTTCACAGAAGCAAGGCTGGTGAGCTGCTGGGGATCGCCAGTCCCTGCTCATCCGGGAGAAGTAACGGGCCTGTGCTGGCAGTTCTGCCAGAGGTCAGCTAAGTTAGGAAGCTGCCCAGTGCAGACTCAGCTCTCTGCTGCGGTGCCTTAGAATCATTGTGTCTTATCCAGCTTTGTGCCGCCTGTGAGGCAGGAGAGTAGAGAACCGCAGAAGCGTCATTGAAAGGTGTCATCCCTACCTTGAAGGTTTATATGAAATAAAAGTGTAAGGAATATTGTGGGTATCCTTTAAAAAAATCTAGTTACCACATACCATATTTGATTGATCAGGGGGGCAAGGTTAAATCATAGTTGATGAACAAATTAAAGAAGGCTTTTGAAGTCCGTTTCTCAGTGAAAGGCTAGCAGACACCTGGGAATTTAAGTGAGCATTTTATGGATTGCATAAAAGTTTTTCTGAGTAACAAATTCTTTTTCTATATGATTTAAGCAAAAATCACTTTTCCTGTTCACTTGAAAAAACTTATGGCTTAAAATGTTTTCAGAGTTTAGTTCTGAAATTAAAATCTGGTCACTTGAGATCCGATGTTTTGTTCTCTGGTTTAGGAGTTATAAGATTTCTCTTAACAGTCTCTTCAGTGACAGAACAAGGTAAGTATACTATGGGAAGTCAGTAACTGCTCGGGCTCTTTGTTGTGGGGGATTGATTGATTCCTGTTTCTCCCACCCCTTAATATTTGTCTGCTGCAATTTAAATAAGTAAAGCATTTTAAGATGTTGAGTAGACAGACCAAACAAAATGATTTCATTTTAAAGTTTTTCTCCTGAACCGCTCTAAAGATGAAAACAGTATCTTGTGTAGAAGTATTTTGGTCATGTCTTACAAGCTCCCCATGTTCTTAGGTCTCGCTCTCCCTCGCTCTCCTTACTGTCGGTTGCACAAGAACTCTTACCTCTTGTGATTGTGCCTCAGACTCTCAAGTCCACCTTCTGAGTTGCCCAGGCGCTCTGGCTTGTCACCCTTGGTTTATTCTTGTGCTCTCTGTATTTAAAGCTTTGACTGTATTAGGAAAAATGCAAGGTTATAAGTTTAGCTAATAGGAGTTCACAGATAATCCAGATGATTATGCTCTGATTTGGTTTAATTGAGCTGTACTAGTTCATTTCGTAAGGAAATGATACTGTAGACAAATGTAAATAAAATCTGTGAGTCAAGCTTCAAGTGGTGTTCATTAGAAATAAACTAGAAAATTTCAAGCTCTGATCGAATGTTCACTTTTAAGCTTAGTAATGGTTTTATTTTGTTGTTATGCTTTATATTGTTCTCTTTTGATGCGAGTTTTTGGTTCCAAACATTCCAGGCAGATGACTACAGCAAGAATACCACATCCCTTACTCCACGTGGTCAGATTGGGGTATCAGAGTGAACGTCAGAATAGCTCACAAACTCACGCTCACTGTCATTCAGCAATACCTGTTCATGTTTCTTACGTTTCCACCGGGAGTCCATTCATCTAAACCATTTTGGATGGTGCTGGGTGATAAATACCCAGGTTGAGAACAAGCTCTCAGCCCGACACCATCAGGTCCCCAGTGGTGTTTTGCCCCGACCCTGCTTTCTGGCCTTTAGCACCACCACTGCACACACTGGTGCGGGGGGGTTCTTTTTAAGGGTTAAATGTACTTTTCTTGACCTGAAAATTGTATTATTTGGGAAAATAGAGTACATGGGTTTTTTTGTTGTCATTGAGGTTGGGGTGGGGTGTGTTGGTGTGCAGAGTGGAGGTCAGCTCACTTTTGGGGTGCCCTTCGCCTTGGCATCGGTTTTGGGGTCGCCAGATTTACACAGACTGGTGACAGAATTCAGTGCTGTGGCTTACAAAACCAGATTAACGTCTACAGTTAAGTATCGTTCAGATACTTTCTGTCTGGTAATTTAGTAAAGAAGCTATACATAGGTATATACTCCTGGACTAACTTCACATTTATATAAAAATTACAAAGATTCTCCATAAACTGCTATTCTGTTTCCACTGTTAACATGTAGATCCATGTGTCCGTGAAACTAAAAAACCAGTGCTGGTATACTAATTATGTTCTGGCTTTGTTTTAATTTTTTTTTATTCTTTGACAGTTTTGTATGTACATACAGTGTGTCTGGATCCTACTCATCCCCAGCTCCATGGCACCCTGCCCACACATGTCCCTCCCACCTTCATGGGCTCTATTTCTGTGTTCTTTGCTTATGGAGCCCTAACCGTGCTGCCTGCATGAGTGTGGATACCTACCAGCAGCCACACTCCTGTATTGCTGTGCTAAAACACTCTGACCAAAAGCAGCCTGGGGAGGACAGGGCTTATTCTTCCACTTTGGCTCCCAGCCCATCCCAGAAGGCAACAGGACCTGAGGTAGAACTTCTTGTTCAGCACAGCATTACCTCTGACCAAGTAACGCACCAGTAGCCAAGAAAATATGACAGGACCATAGAGAGTGCTGCTTCCAGCTGTCCATCCGCCGCCTCATGCTCAGCTGGCCTTCACAGTCTCAGCCTTCCTGCCTAGGGATGGTGCCATCCACAGGGGACTGGACCCTCCCACACCTTGGAGCTGGCTTCATGATGCTCTTGCCTTAGCCTTCCTGGAGCTGGGATTGCAGGTGTACACCACCACACCCCAGTTACACTCAGATCTTCTCTTTCAGAATCCAGTCTAAGCTGCCGTACACTGTAATACTGCCTCCCTAGTCTCTCTGTGATGGCTTGTAACTTCTTTGCCTTTGATGATGGTCTTGAGATACTCTGGCCTGGTATCCCTCCCCCTGACTGCCTCACTGGGACTAGTGTCCTGTGCACCTAGCACTGAGTTCAAGAAGGGAGAGGCCAGTGCAGCACAGTGTACCTCTCCTCAAAGCAGTCTGTACGCTGTTAGCCTCAAAGCAGCCTCCCTGTGTACTCAGGAGCTAGAAAGCCTGTGGGGAGGAAGGGGGAGTTCTGCATAATCCAGAGAGAGAGAAGAGGAAGGGGAGAGCAAATAGTAGATTTAAAGACAAGCTACCACTCTTCCAGTTAGAAGTAGAAACTTGCCTGCTGGTGACCCAGTGTGAACAGGTTCAAGATAGAGAGGGAAAAAACAAACATGGTGTCAATGCAGGAAAAACGGGTGCCTTTGCTGTGAAGAGTACATTTGAGAGCAGTGTATGATGACAAAAGAGGCCATTTAGCAACAAAAACAGATCAAGAATAAAAAGCAAAATTTGGAGCTGCAAAGAACAAACATCCACCATTACAGATTCCTGTAATTAATACAGTAAGTAAGGACTTGAAAACAACCAACCTAATTCATGCAAGAACACTACTAACCAAGGATCCAAGTACACATACATGGAGACCATGTCTTTTTCTGTTGCTGTGATGAAACACCCTCAGAAAAGGTGGTTCGCATTTCAGTATAACAAGGCCAGAAAGTCAGGACAGCAGGAACTTGAAGCAGTTGGTGATGTGACATCACAGTCAAGCAGGGAGGACAATACTGCTGTCTGGTTTCTTCTCTCCATTTTGCAACCCAGGATGCCCTGTTGAGGGAATTAGCCTCACAGGCCATCAGTTAATGTAATCAAGATAATGTCCCACAGGCATTCGCAGAAACAGGCTTCCAAGTGATGTTTAGTGATGGAATTCAAAGGAACCCTCTTGGTTGTCAGAACTGTATGTCGGGCTGGGTCACAATTTGGTGTACTTGTGTAAAAACACAAGAAGCCTTGTGCAGTTAATATCCTGCACTTGCTGTGTGAGATGCGAACCCTTCCACTTGGAAACCGGGATAGAGGCTGGAGGGAAGTAGCAGGAAGGGGTCCAGCCAAGAGACAGGAACCTTTTTTCTTCTTGGACTAACAAGTTTTCAAGAAAGTTGTAAAGAGACTTCTCTACCCTCATCCTGTTTTCATGTTTCATAATGCATATGTAAAAACCAGAGAAACCAGCATTTGTACATTGTTACTTAAATCAGGTTTTGAGTTTTAACAGTCCCTTTCTTCTGTTCCAGGAGCCAGACAAGGATATAGCACTGCATTTAACTGTTTCTTTTTGTCTTGTGGTGTGGGGGCAATTTCTCATTCTTGTTTTTCAGGACCATGGTCTCGTAGAACATTTATCAGGTAGTTTGTAGATGAACCCCTGGGTTTGTCAATTTCTAATTAGACGGGGATTGTGGCTTTTCAGAAAAATGGCAACAGGAGTGTGTTTTCTCAAGAAGTGCATAAAATACATGACTCAGCTCACTACCATCTGATTGTTGGATTTCTCCACTGTAAAGGCATTTCTCCTTTTTAATGCTATAGTCTTTGGAATTACAGTCCACTACACCCTGATGGGCAGGGCACTAAAGCACTTCTTTAAAGGTGATATAGAGGCTTATTTCCCATTTATTTAACCACTTAACAGAAATGTGAACCTAAATATACTTACCTTGTATGTGGCCTACAATTCAGTACCATGCTATACGGCCTTTAAATTTGTGTGCTGCATGTGCAGTTGTCTACAGAGGGCTTTGGATCACTTGGAGTTTCAAGCATTGGTGAGCCAATGGATGTGGGTGATAGGATCTGAACCTTGGCTAATGCTCAGTCCCCTGATAGAGCATTAAGCTCTGTTGACTGCTGAGCATTTCTCTAGTCCTACACACTTTTTGTTGTAGTTGGGATTGAACGATGGCCACTGATGTTGCACTTTGGCTCCTGTGTCCCCTGACACAAGCCTGGTCCTCTGACCTGTGCACTCTTCATGCTGCGGGCAGATGGTCCAACAAGCATCAGTTGCTCTCATTGAAGAGCATTCATGAGAACCAAGACGTGGTGCTGGACAGATGATTAGGATGAGACACAACTTCCATTTAGAGACTTGTGGTTTACTTAATGAACAATCTATCCTTGTTAATATGAAGTGAAGCCTCATCATTTGCTCAAAAGTTAGAATTTTAAAAAGCAATTTTGAGCTGGGTTCAAGTTACTAACTTTAATCATAGCTGTGGTTGGGGGCGGGGTTAAGGCAAGAGAACTCCCAAGTTCAAGGCCTTTCTGGGTAAGGTTTAGGGAGACTGGTCTCAATAGAAAGTCCAAATAAGAGGGTTGGGTTATATATAGATAGCTTCACAAGAGATTACTTGCCTAGTGTACAGGCCTTAGGTCTCACCCTCAGTACTGGGGGGGTAAAATTAAGATGTCAGTATTAGCTGGGACTGGTGGCACTCTGTGAGTTTGAGGCCAGCCTGTTGTACATCGTGAGTAGGAATTACTACAACCTGAGCAGGAGTCCCCAGCCACAGATGGAAAGGGGAGAACTTGGAATAAAATTTGCAGGTGGTCAAACAACAGGGTAGAAAGTTGAATGCTGAGTCCCCTGCACATGGGTGACATTGTAACCCAGGAGTGAATTCCTAGAAGGTAGCTAACAAGAGGTGGTTAGCTTCTGATTAAACTAACAGTGCACTGTATTTCACAGATGCCACTAAATGTTTTCAATCATACTCAGGACTGGAAAAGCAGAAACATGCACTTTTTAGGACAAATTCATAAGTAATGAAAGAGAATATCCCAGTCTAACCATAGCTACTTTGGAAGTGAACTAGAAGTTGAAATTTAAATTTAAGTGCTTAATTTGTCTAAGCCGTTATATAGAATCAAGGTAATTTTTAAAATTAAAAGATTGTAATTTGAAGCAGCGGTGGAGGCAGGTGAAGATAAAGGCTCTACTTCGGACATGGAGACGCTGAAGGAAGAGTTAGGAACGGTGGTTGGGGTCTGGCCTGAGTGTGGTTTTGTGACCTGTGCTGAGAACGACTACAAACGGAAGGGAAGGGAATCTGGAAGATCTGATGGACTGTGATCAGGTGCTAAAGTGGATGTTAGTGGAGATAGCAGGATAGAGTTGGCCACTAGTGGAGATTGTCATATACACTACATCCCACAAATAACACCAGTATGTAGAAGAATATCACCAAGTCATTGCTTCTCAGCAAAGTAGGACAGTAGCCTGTATTTCTCATTGCAGTGATGAAATAACAGCAACCTGAGGAAGTGTTCACCTTTGGTTGGTACCTTGAGGGGATGCAGTTTGTCATGGTGGAAAGTCAAGGCAGCAGGGCTTGGGGCTGCCCATCCCAGTGTGGCCATGGAGGCCGTGCTGGTGCTCAGCTGGCTTTGCTGCTTTTGTTCTCTTTCTCTAAGTCCAGGCCACAGCCCGTGGACTGATACTGCCCACATTC